TATTGTGACAGAGAATAGGAGAATTGACATAGCCCAGGGGCAAGAAAGTGAATATGGGGGCGCCTGGGCGGCTCAGTCAGTTAAGCATCTGCCTTCAGCTCAGGTCATGATCCCAGGGTCCTGGGATCGAGCCCCGCATTGAGGGGGAGTCTGCTTCTTCCTCTGCCTCTGCTACTCCCCCTGCTTGTGCTCTCTCCCTCTCTCTCTCAAATAAATAAATAAAATCTTAAAAAAAAGAAAGTGAATATGTACTGCTATCCATCCCACAGAAAAGCAAATAGCTTTTGATTCTCTTTACTGAAGGATTTTGAAGAGAAAATCCACAATATTGCTGCTAATTTTGTAATTCCTCCCAGGATGTGGTATTACTTCTGATTTAATAAATTGGTCAAAAATGTGGGCATGTTAGAGGCTTCTATTTGTCCCTACCTACCATAATGGCTCTTATTTAATAGGGCAGAGAGTAAATATTAGGGTCTGGCCAACTGCTAAGCCTAGCTATCCCAGCTGTGCACTTAGGGACCGGGAATACACTTAGGGACCACTACAGTATGGATCTTTACATCCATTAGACCTGTTTGAATAAGAACTCCATTTACCACCTGGCTTTCATGAGCCTCCAATCTAACTGGGGGACCATGATGGTGTTTCCCAACCCCTGGGATCAAGGCTAGCTCATACTCTGAATCCAACAGCCCTTGAAAGGTCTAGGACTTTCCCTTTTCCCAGGCCAGAGTTGCTCTGGTAAAAGATCATTGCTATGGACTGAACTGTGTCTCCCCTAAATTCATACTGAAAGCCCTAACCCTCAACCATATTTGAAGATGGGGCCTTTGGGGACTAATTATGTTTAGATGAGATCATGAGAGTGGGGCCCTTATGATGGGATTAGTGCCTTTAGAAAAATACACACCAGGGAGCTTGTAAGAAGGTGGCCATCTACAAGCCGGGAAGAAGACTCTCATGAGAAACTGAATCTGCCAGCACCTTGATCTTGGACTTTCCAGCCTCCAGAACCATGGGCAATAAATTTCTGTTGTTTAAGTCTGCCAGTCTGTGGTATTTTGTTATGGCAGCTTGAGCAGACTAAGATAGCCACAGATTCCTTGTGGGAAGAGATTAGAGAAATAATTATCATATATACTTTTGGCAGTATAGGTGGTTTTTTCCTTAAAGAGACTTGGCTTCCTTTTCAATCAATAGGCTCTGAGCCTGTGAACTGGCCTAGATCTGTGAAATTAATGAGAAAATATTATTTCCCATTGTGGCAGCGTCCATCAGCCTTCTGCTTACTAGCTCTTATTTTGGAGGTGAGGTTGTTATACAAGTCAAGTAACATCTGGTCATCTGCCCATTTACTTAACTCCTAGGAACACCATAGTCGATTAGCCATCACCACATGGCTGCAACCAGCATAAGCATGCTGGTTGCTACTTCAGTCTTGTCATGACCTCCAGCCTGCCTCTGTTGATTGTGTCACCATCCAGCCTCTGCTATTCTAGAATCTTATCCTCACTGACACTAGGAATCCTCACCTGTGCATTTTGTATTGCCATAGAGAAGAGAGTGTCCTCAGGACTTGCCTTGGGAATGCAATCTGGTGATAGGTTCTCTGGTCTTGCATGATAAATACAATCTAACACTCTCCCCTCCCTGAGCCTTCTGACTCCTTTTGTACTCTGTTAAGAAAGTTTTGGCATCTCCAGCTTGGACAACATAACTGTGTCCAAGTTTCAAAGAGCCATCTCAGAAGCAAATGGATATGTTTTTCTGTATCCTTGCTTTGATGTTAAACCCAGCATTACAACAGAGTACTCCAAGGTTAATAAAGTCCCACATGTTACCCCTGTTCCCACCAAAACATAGGGCCTGTTTTTTTGGGTTTTTTTGTTTTTTCCCCCTAATGAGTATGCCATTTCCTTGTGGATCAGGGTCTGTATTTCCCCACCTAGGCTCTGCTGAGACTTCCCCCTAGTTGTTGGTCTGGAGGCAGTGGTGGGGGGTGGGCAGGGGAGGATCTTGAGGAAGATAAGCATCATCTTAGGAGCCCCTTGCCTCTAGAGGAGTCTTGAGGAGGGATTCCTATCAAGGAGAGGTTGCTCTCATTCAGGAAGGAGAAGAGAGCTGCTGCTGCTGCACTGAAAGTTTAGGGAATCCAGGAATTCAAAATTCTCACATTAATTTACCAAACGTTTCTGTTCCACCTTTCAGGATTCTATGCATTTCCTTTTAGGGCTATGACTTTGTCATAGAACACCTATCAGAGCCGTGCATGCAGCGGCGCCTGGGTGGCTCAGTTGGTTAAGCAACCAACTCTTGATTTCTGCTCAGGTCGTTATCTCAGGGTCATGAGATCCAGCGAACCCCACACCGGGCTCCTCATCTGGTGTGGAGCCTGCTTAAGATTCTCCCTCTCCCTTTCCCTCTGCCCCTCCCGCCCTCCTGGCTCATGAGCAGGTACACACTGACATGCTCTCAAGCTCTCTCTCTTAAAAAAAAAAAAGCTGTGCATGCAGCCTTTTTATGAAGCTGTCCTACTCTTTCAATTAAATCAGTTAAATCCTGGGTTTGATTTCCAGCACCATCTTCCCTGAGGCTGCAGGAAATGAGGGTCTCTTTAAGAGCTGCCATGGAGGTTTCCTGGCTTATATAGTGTGCCTTGAGTTTATAGATGGCTGACCCAGGCCTATCATTTTCTTTGTTGTTTTTTTTTTTTTAAGCTTTTATTTATTTATTTATTTATTTATTTGAGAGAGAGAGAGAGAAAATGCATGTGAGAGAGAGAGAGAGGGAGAGCAGGGGAAGGGGCAGAGAGAGAAGGAGAGAAAGAATCCTGAGGTCGTGATCCCACGACCCTGAGATTATGACCTGAGCTGAAGCCAAGAGTGGGTCACTTAACCAACTGAGCCACCCGGGCACCCTGGGCCTATCATTTTCTTTTTTCAAGGCTCTAAAGCATTAGCAAAAGCCTTTCAACTCCATGATCCTTATAATCACTATACATTCTATGTGCCATAATTGGGGTTTCTCGACTTTGGCACTATTTTGGGCCAGATAATTGTTGTTTGTTTTGAGGGACTGTCCTACATTTTAGGATGTTTAGCAGCATCTCTTGCCTCTACCTACTGGATCCCAGTAACACTTTTCCTTAGTTGTGATAAAAAAAAAGAAAGAAAGAAAGAAAAAAAGTATCTCGGGGCGCCTGGGTGGCTCAGTTGGTTAAGCGACTGCCTTCGGCTCAGGTCATGATCCTGGAGTCCCGGGATCGAGTCCCGCATCGGGCTCCCTGCTCGGCAGGGAGCCTGCTTCTCCCTCTGACCCTCCCCCCTCTCATGTTTTCTCTGTCTCTCTCATTCTCTCTGTCTCAGATAAATAAATAAAATCTTTAAAAAAAAAAAAAAAAAAAGAAAAGAAAAAAAGTATCTCTAGGGGCACCTGGGTGGCTCAGTCGGTTAAACGTCTGCCTTCAGCTCAGGTCATGATTTCAGGGTCCTGAAAATCCATAGGTCCATATAAAAATCCATGATCAACAATATCAGAATTTTAAGTAAAGATAGGATCGATATTATTAAGTTTTTCCTTTGGTTTTAGGATCCAATATATTTCAGCATAGCATAATCACGGACCCAGGTGCCAATAACCTGCTCAGTTACACAGTCTTTGCTGCCCTTACCTTCTCCCCTGTTCATTCTTCCTAGCCTCTCACTCCTTTTCCTGGGATCACTACTCAAAATTAGCTATCTCCACATAAGTTTTTCTCTCAGGCTTTGCTTTTCTATTGGTGGAAAAGGGAAAGATGAAAGTCAAGCTAAGTAAGACAATGACTACATAAAATATTGTTTAAAGGATACTTTTTTGGTAAGATTTATTTTTTTATTGGGGGGGGTTGGGGATGGGGAAGAGGCAGAGGGAGAGAGAATTCCAAAGCAAACTCCCCACTGAATGTGAAGCCCCCGGGGGTGGGGGTGTCCTAGTGCGATCCCACCACCCTGAGATCATGACCTGAGCTGAAATCAAGAGTTGTCTACGCAACCAACTGTGGCACCCAGGCGCCCCAAGGATACTTTTGAAAGTAAAGAGATGTGCTATTAATAATTTCACAGGACTAACAGGCATAAATCAGACCTGTCCTGGCACAGAAGGACATATGGTCTTATCACAGAAAAGGGAAGAGGTTCCAAGGGAGTGAGAAGCCAGCTTAAGAGGAGGGGTCAGACTGCAAACTACGAAAGAAAACCGAGGCAGAAATGTCCCTCAGCCTCTTAGCAGGGGCCTGGAGAAGGCAGTGGTGGGGGTACACAATCTCCTGTCAATCTCCTGTACACAAACACCTGTCAATCTCATCTGATTGCCTCATGAACTCCAGCACTCAGACCGCAGTCTCCAGCTAGCTCACGCAACAGCAGAGGGCCCTACGACTGGGCACTGAGCAGTCTGTGGTCCCTGCTCTGGTTTCCCCGCCAGATCTGGCCGAACTAGACCTTCTCCTCCTCCCTCCCCCAGTTCCCAGAGTGGGGGGGGGGGTGCCTTTTGCAACCCAGAGGCCTTCCAGTCCAAGAAGGCTCTGGCGGTCAGTCCCAGTAAAGAACCCTGGGGCATGATGAGAATGAAGGGATCCAAATCAGACCCTGGAAGTGGTGACAGGAGCGCCTCCATGACTGTGCTCTCACAAAGGGCCAGGCTCCGTGTGGAAGTCTTCTGTAGAGGCCGCAGCGGGATCCTGGGACGACCCGGTGGCCCCTGCCCCCCACCTCCCTTCGTCAGAGCCTATCACTGACGCAGCGTGACCTTGTTCATCCCCCCTCTTCTACAGGTGAGGCTCCGGGCTGCCCCGAAGACGCTTCCCGAGCGGCGCCGGCTGGTGACTGAGTCCAGCCCTCCTGGGACGGGTGGGCAGTGAGCGCCCTGGCGCCCGGTGCCAGCCACTCGCGTGTCAGCGCAGACGTCGCCCTGCCGTCACCCCTGCGCCCGCAGAGGCTTCCCCAGAGCACCGACTCCACGGACTCGCACGCCGGCGCTCCGCCCGGGGCCGCCTGAACTCGGACTCGGGATTGGGAGGGCCGGGGAGAGACCCCTGTCGCGGGCGAGGCCTGGGGCGGCGCTCTCCCCTGTGGGACCCAACACCGCGGCTTCCGGCTGGGAGCCCAGCGTTTGGAGTCGCGGGCGACGCGGAGTGCGCGGGAGCGGAGCTTTCCCTCCCGCGGGCGGGCGACACCGGGGCCGGGGAAGGCTCTGCCGCGGGGTCGCGGGGGCAGGGGGCGGAGCACGGGGCGGAGCCGGCCGGGAGCCGCATCCCGGCCGCGCGGCCGCCCTCCCCTCCTCCCTTCCCCGCCCCAGCCGGGATAGGGGTGCGGTCCCGAGGGCCTCCTGTGGCTTCCCCCTTTGCGACCCGCTCCCGGGAGCGTTCCAACGCCCACAGCCTGCTTTCCGGGAACGCTTACCCGGCCGTGCGCCCCAGTTTCGCGCAAGCTGCCTGGCCGCCGAGGACGTTCTGACGCCTTCGGGGAACGCCCTCGACCACGCGACTCTGGCCGGGTACCGCTCTCAGTCCCCGGTGTTGCAGCCGCCGAGCAGCGGTGAGTAGCATGCGGGACTACGACGAGGTGACCACGTTCCTGGGCGAGTGGGGGCCCTTCCAGCGCCTCATCTTCTTCCTGCTCAGCGCCAGCATCATCCCCAACGGCTTCAATGGAATGTCAGTCGTGTTCCTGGCCGCCACCCCGGAGCACCGCTGCCGGGTGCCGGACACGGCGAACCTGAGCGGCGCGTGGCGCAACCACAGTATCCCGCTGCGGCTGCAGGACGGCCGCGAGGTGCCTCACAGCTGCCGGCGCTACCGGCTCGCGGCGATCGCCAACTTCTCGGCGCTCGGGCTGGAGCCGGGGCGCGATGTGGACCTGGAGCAGCTGGAGCAGGAGGGCTGCGTGGACGGCTGGGAGTTCAGCCGGGACATCTACCTGTCCACCATCGTGACCGAGGTGGGTGTGGGAATGACCCTCCATCTGCTCCAGACCCCTCGAGGCGCCCTGGCGGTCCCTGGGTGAGCGTTCCGCGCCCCGCGTCAAACCCGAGCGGCCAGCAACTTGGGTTGCGCGTCTAACACGCGTGGGCCACCCAAGAGAGCAGGACTTCTGTGAGGCTTATTCGTGATGGGTTCTGCCTAGTATCGAGGGCATGGAGCAGGGACTGTTGTTAACAACTGTCTTTTCCTTTACGAGTTTCACAACACATGAAATTGTTTCCCAAGAGGCCCGTCCCAGGCTGCTCAGAGGAACAGTCTGAGTCAAGTTCCTGCCACCCGCCGGAGGAGGCGTGTGGGGATCTCTGCTGAGCCCAAGTGCAGACACAGGGAAGAGCCTTGCTGCCCCGTGGGCCATGGGCAGGTCTGACCTGTTCCCTGGCCACAGACTTCTGAAGCAGCAGGGGGTCTACTGCTCTGCCATCCACCTTTTCGTGAGGCTTGGGGTCCTGTCTTGAGGCTCCAATTTCTCTGAAAAGGAGCAGAAGGCCTCCTGATGCTGACTGGGTGCAGGGGACCATAGAAGCCATAGCCCTGGCCCCAATGTACTGATGAAGAGACCAACTCACACAGACCCCTTTGAGCATAGGATTCAGTGGTGGACAGGGGTTCCAGCTTATGCCATTAGCTCCTCAGGATCCTAAGTGGTTCAGTGGCAGATTTTCTAAGTTTCAGGAGTCAGGCTACACACATACTTCGTCCCCTATACTTCTTGCTTTGCATCTGGTAAGGGCCATGAGATGTTAGGTCCATCTGAGGAGGGTATACCTAGACTAGTTTTCTGCTGTAGGTTAGGCAGGTAGGATCTCCCAGCTTCTGGCCCATCCCCCACTCTATCTTCCTCCCAAGAAAAACCTGAGTGTGACCCCTGCTAGTCCTTAATTCTCTTCCCTCAGCGTGATGTGGCAATCATCAAAACCACGAGTGGCCTTGTGTTGGACACTAGGCTGTAGACATCTGAGGTTTGGGGCCTGCTCTCAAAGCTCAGATGCCCATGGGGCACACTGCCATGTTACAGAGAGGGCTAACATCAGCCCTGGTTACTAGTAGAGTTCTGGAGCCTGAATTCAAATTCTGGCTGGCTTGCTGTGTGACCTGGGACAATATATTACCCTCTCTGTAGGGATAACAGGGTGAGGAAATACTCCAAGAAGAAGTGATAAAATTTGACCTGAGTCTGGAAATATGAGTAGGCCTTGTCCAAGCAAAGAATATGGCAGATTCTGTGGATGGAAATCCCATAGATCCAGGTAGCTGGTGTTCAGGGAATGGCAGGTGTGGCTAGAAATGCCTACAAAGATCATTTCACAGTGGGCATTGTAGGAATGTTGAGGAATTGACTTCATTCTGAGGACAGTGAGGAAATAAGGAAATAATAAAGGTTATAAGCAAGGGGTAACATGGCCATATTTGGCAGAGGCTTACTCTAGCTGCTGTGAAAAGCAAGACCAGTGAGGAATCCACAGGAGTTTCCTTGGCAAGAGCCTGGTGGCCAGCTAGGGGTGGTGAGTGGTCAGCCCGTGAAGAGTGGTCTCAGCCTGTGGACCACCTCTGGATCCCCCCAGCATTGGCACCACACCTTCCTTGGGCACTGAGTTGACTGTGATTCTCTGGCATTGATCCCTTAGCTGGGGCTCCTGGTGTGTGCCCATCCCTTGCCCATAGCCTGTTCCTGGGGCATCTAATAGTGGGGATCAGTTCCCTCCAACTCAGTTCCTGGAAGTATCATCAGAGCTTGAACTGGAGCTGGCCCCAGTAGGCACAGTGACCCCCGACAACTGGTTTGACCTGTCTCTTTTCCCTTCCTTGCTGGTGTCATTCACCTCAGGGTGAAGAGTGGGTAGCTGTTGGCCTCCAAGGCCATACCTCCCCCTGTTGTGCCCTGCTCATAGCATCCTGTGGGCACCTCTGGGGACTCACATCATCACATGCTCACACTCATGCAAAAGGGTTTGCTTTTTTCAGCAGCCTTTCCTTTCCTTGCTTCTTTTTTGGGTTGTGGAGTAAAGTAAGACAAATGGGTGCTGGTGTTGGGAGGAAGGAGGAGAGAAGCACAAGGGTGAGTAGGGGGAGGTGGCTCTCCCCAAAGAGATGGTGGCCCAAGGAGAAGTTCTGGAGTCAGCCTGGAGGGCGAGTTCTGACCCCACCCCCAGCCACTTGGCTCACTTCAGCAGGTTACATCACTGCTCAAAGCCTCAGTTTCCTTAACTGTAAGTGGGGATACAAGTGTATGAAAACAGGCTCAACATTACTAATCATTAAGAAAATGTAAATCAAAACCACAATGAGATATCACCTCATATCCATTAGGATGACTGCTATAAGAAAAATACAGAAAATAACAAGTGTTGGCAAGGAGGTGGAGAAATGGGAATCCCTCTGTGCACTGTTAGTAGGAATGTAAAAAGGTGGAGCCACTGTGAAAAACAGTATGGCAGTTCCTTAAAAAATTAAAAATAGAATTGCCATTGAATCCAGCAATATCACTTATGGGCATAGATACACAAGAATTGAAAGCAGGGTCTCAAAGAAATATTTGTACACTTATGTTCATAGCAACATCATACACAACAGCCAAAAGGTAAAAGCATCCCAAATGTCCATCAATGGATTAATGGATAAAGAAAGTGTGACATATAGATACAATGGAATATTATTCAGCCTTAAAAAGGAAGGAAATTCTGACACATGCTACAATACAGATGAACTTTGAGGACATTATGCTAAGTGAAATAAGCCAGTCACAAAAAGATAGAAAAAATGTGTGATTTTGCTTGTACGAGATATGAAGAGTACTCAAACTCATAGAAACAGAAAGAAGTAGTTAGGAGGCGCTAGGGCGGGGGAGGAATGGGGAGTTATTGGTAAACGGGTATAGAGTTTAGTTTTGCAAGATGGAAAGAGTTCTGGAGATTGTATAACAATATGAATATATTTAACTCTACTGAACTGTATACTTAAAAACCATTAAGATGATAAATTTTATGTTATGGGGGTTTTTTGTTTTTGTTTTTACAATTTTTTAAAAATGAGGATCATAAGAGTGCACAGCTTCTCTGAGTTGTTGGGAGGACTCATGAACATCATCGGCTGGTGGGCGAGGAGAGGTAGGGCAGGACCTCATCACCTCTGGCTCTACACATGGGCATCATGGGAGCTGTGCCAAGGTCCAAGTTACAGCCAGTATAATAGGTGATGAGACTTGCTGGAGGCTGAGTTCCTTTCCCCCTGGGGAAGTTCCAGGACCCACAGAATAAGACATAGGTCCAACCCCACACTGATTTGGCCAGTGTCCATGGGAGAAATGGTCCCAGTTCAACCATACGGTCAAGCCCAAGGGCCCTGAACAGGTTCTCTGCGTCCCACCTGGCATGATACAAGTAGAGGGACTGTTATCAAATTGTTTCTGCCTTACACCTCTGTGCAGGATCTCCCAGTGGGCATACTCTCTGGGATAGCTGAACCAACACCTGACTCCCACAAGGATGGCAAGGTCAGCCAGGAACCCAAGGATGGCATGTCCTGCTATGGAAATGCCTTTCATAGAATGCTGGGAGGCAGGAATCTGGTGTTTGAGCTGGGACTTGCTTGAGTACATCTATCTGTCTGTGTATATGTGCTTAAGGTAGTTTCCTTCCTCAGGGGTTGTTTGTGAAGTCCCATTTACTATTCTTGGGTACTCATTAAGAATTACATTTTAAAAAACTTCATTTTGAATTAATTTTTGACTTAGAGAAAAGTGGTGAAATAGTACAGAGAATTCACATATACCTTTCAACCAGCTTCCCTTAGTGTTAATAATTTACATAACCATAATTCATGTATCAAAACCAGGAAATTAATGTTGGTTGCACTACAATTAACTAAACTACAGACAGTATTTGAATTTCGCTGGTTTTTCTAGGAATATTCTTTTTCTGTGTTTGGATCCAATGCAGAAGCCTACATTGTATTTAGTTGGCATGTCTCCTTAGTCTCCTCCAATCTGTGACAGTGCCCCAGTCTTGCCTTATCTTTCATGACCTTGACACTTTTTATGAGTCTATCAGTTATTTGTTTTTTGTTTTTAAAGATTTTATTTATTTATTTGACAGAGAGAGACACAGCAAGAGAGGGAATACAAGCAGGGTGAGTGGGAGAGGGAGAAGCAGGCTTCCAGCTGAGCAGGGAGCCCGATGCCTATGTGGGACTCAATCCCAGGACCCTGGGATCATGACCTGAGCCGAAGGCAGACGCTTAATGACTAAGCCACCCAGGTGCCCCAAGTCTATCAGTTATTTGGATGAATGTCCCTTGGTTTGGATTTGTGTGATTTCTCTCATGATAAGATTGAGTTCGTGTACTTTTTGGTCAGAATATCATAGAAGCAATATGTCCTCAGAGTATCATACCAGTGGGTATATGATGTCAATACAGCTTCTTGTTGTTGTTGTTTTTTAAGATTTTATTTATTTATTTGACAGAGGGAGACACAGTGAGAGAGGGAAACACAAGCAGGGGGAGTGGGAGAGGGAGAAGCAGGCTCCCTGCTAAGCAGGGAGCCCGATGTGGGGCTCGATCCCAGGACCTTGGGATCATGACCTGAGCCAAAGGCAGACACTTAACCCACAGAGCCACCCAGGCATCCCTAGATACTGCTTGTTAATGGCAATGTTAACCTTGATCAGTTGGTTAAGTTGGTGTCAGCTGGGTTTCTCCACCCTGGAGTCACTATTTTCCCCATTAATAATTGATAAATATCTTGGGGGAGAGACTTTGAGACTCTACAGATATCCCGTTTATCCTCAAACATTTACCCACTGATCTTGGCATCCATCTGAGGACCGTCATAGAAACAAGTATTACTGTGGTGTTTGCCTAGTGATGATCTTGTGTCTCCCACATTCCTTCCACATTACTTCCAATTTATTAATTGGAATTCTTCTCTGCATAAGAGCTTCCCCCTCACTCCCACATATTTATTTATGCAATTATTACTTTATTTAAGTACTTTATATTATACTAGCAATACTTATGCAATA